AGGAACTCCATATACTCAGCAGTCATATAAAGTTAGTGAGTCATTTCCATTCAAGTGGATTAATAAAAAGTGGAAGGAAGGTTTCCATGTCACATCAATGACTACTGCTGGAAGTCGATGGGGTGTTGTGATGTCTAGAAATTCTGGATATTCTGAACAGGTAAAAAGGAAGGTGATATTTATTGTGTTTGCATTTGTATGCAGTATGCACAAACACTGATGGGTGGCGAATTGAATTGGTTGTTTAGGTTGTAGAGCTTGATTTTCTGTACCCAAGTGAGGGAATACATAGGAGATGGGAAAGTGGGTATAGAATAACGGCAATGGCTGCCACTACTGATCAAGCTGCCTTCATACTTAGCATACCCAGACGGAAGATGATGGATGAGACTCAAGAGACTCTTCGCACGTCTGCATTCCCCAGTACCCATGTAAAGGTAGGTTAGTTTAGGTTACACACAACATTTTATAAGTTAATAATACCCCTCGATATCTCTACTGATTTTTTTTAATGTTTTGTTTTTATGCAGGAGAAGTGGTCCAAGAATCTCTACATTGCCTCTATATGTTATGGCCGTACTGTTTGCTGATGCTGTGTTGTATCATTCTGTATTTTACCTTGAGATGCAATACTTTTGAAAGCTGAGTGAGAATAGACGATGGGCCGAAGAAAGAAAAAGGTGATCGTGTCTCAAACTTGTTGCCTTAAGCTGTGAAATATTTGTCTTGTTCGTGCAAAATGAACAAAGACCCTTTTGGAGAACGAACAGTCAAACAAGTGAAACTGAAGTTGTGTTGTGTCGAGGTTTATCAGTGGCGCATGGAGTAGTAGCGGGGAATGCTGTTCCCATAACCATGCGTCACTTTACATTTCAACTTTTTTATTAAATGACTTAAGTGTGCCGTTGACTCTCTTGGTCGTCTATATGATGGATGATTTTATTAACTTTATAAGTTGCTACAGCCGACTTAAGTCAACTTAACTAAACATTAGATCATTACAAGTTAACGCAAATGTAAATCATTGATCGATCACCATAAAATATATCACTAGAATTCGATAAATAGTAACATTTTTTTTACTTGATCGATCATTCAATGTGCCATGAGGCTGAAGATATGTTTGAGCAAGAGTAATGGACGGAGCCATCTTGTATTTTACGAATATGGATATTGAATAAGAGATCGGCTCGAATTAATAAAATGCTACTAATATCATAATAATACAGATATAGCTAATCAAGTCAAAGAGAGGCACGACCAAAGGAGATCATTTAACATAAAGTGAAATGTCCAAAGCCAAGTGTGGTTCTGCACAACTTGGGATGTCAAACGTACGCACATCCCAGGTGGCAGCAGCCAATTCCAACTCCCTCTGCATATACATACATACATACATACTTAAGTTTAAGTTGTACCATGGATGAAAACTAATTTAATTTTGCTACAGCAAAACCAGATTACTACTACTGTCAAATTAAAAGAGACTAATGATTCTCTCTCCCTCTATGTATATATGCATGTACGGTTGGACAAAAGAATAGAATATGGATAAATAATAATATTGTAGCGGATTGAGCGACGGTGGAGGAAGAAGAAGATTTTCATGTGAGGATTTGATTACGATGATTGTGATTAGGTGCCTTGTTGTTGTTGTTGTTGTTGTTGTTGTTTCTCCTCTCTTTTTCTTTGATCAACTCCCTTGCAAACATCTCCATTTTCTCCATGTTTGTAAACTCACTCACCTTCCTCCCTTTAAACAATACAGATTCCACATTGTTCTGCCCCAACATTTCATCTGCACTGCTCACCATATTAACCGATCCTATTCCATTTCCCTGCACCATGCATCCACAAACAATTGATCACAAACATTAAACATTTCATGATATCCATAAGTAAGGTAGGTCAAGATAATTAAATCCCCTGCACGGCTGCACTATATATATATATATATTCATATAAAGCTACTTGCCTGAATGCGGATGTAGTTACTACTTGTCCATTCACCAAATGCCATGGATACTGCTTGATCAACCTTCACCACGACACATACAAAAACCGCCAGGATTAAATTATATGTATATATATGTATTGTTCTGGATTAACTTAATAATAATTTCATTTAATTACTACCATGTCAGCAGCTGTGTGAGCAGCAATTTGTTCAAGTGATGATGATGTTTCAGGGCATCCTTTTCCTAGTGAGAGCACCAACAGATCCTCAACTCCCCGACACATTGGGAACTCTTTCTTATTATTCACCACATGTGTTATAGCTGCAGCCGTTGGATTGCCGACCCCACCGCCAATGGCCACGATCTTTTTCCTCCCATCCGTTGACCTCAGCTCCACAGCTCTGCCATCAGCCGCTGTGGCCCCACAAACGGCCGCCATCCTGAAATCAGCCATCTCCATAGCGTCGGCACGTGAGAACAGAAATGGGGCGCCGCTCATCAGATCGTAGCACGGTATCAAAACCGACTTCACGCAGCAGTCTTTCAGTGTCAGCTGCCCAAAAACATTGTTCAGCACTTTGTGCAAAGCATTTCCTTTTCCTCTCAAACTACACAAGAGACCACCACCGCGCGGCTCTAGTTTTTTGCGGTTGTCGAGCATGAATTTGAGAGACTCCTCGGCAGTGAACAATGGCCGCCCGTCTTTGGGGCGTCGGGTGAAGAGAAGACCGACGAGAATGCCTCCGGCACCGGCGCCGGCGGCCACGTCAAAGAAATCGGCGAGGTGGGCGGTGGGGTTGCCGGATTTGAGCCGGAGAATGGATTGGAGACGGAGAAGAGTTTGGGCCGCGAGAATACCGTCTCCGCCTGAGTCGATGCTTAGAATTCCAACTTTTGCGTTGGTGTGTCTGTGTTGGTTGTGTGATCCGAAGAGGAATTTGTTCTCTAGAATGGAGAAGATTTCGCTCGTCAGTTCGTCGACTGGTGATGCCATTGCTTGGTTGGTTGATAAATGTGAGAGAGAGAGATAGTTAGTTAGTAGAAGAAGAAACGAATGAGCAGAATGAGAGAAGAATACCAGTGAAAGAGATCTATAGTTATATATATGTATATAGCGCATGGCTGAGTCCCATCATCATATCAAATGATGTATAAACAAATAGTAATAATACAATATCACCAACTAATCCTTTTAAAAAAGGACAAAATGTAGAATAAAGAAACAGGGAGGAAGAAGACATTTTAATTAGGCATTTGGATAAGTGCTACTTAATTTGTTTATGGGATAAAATAAGTTTTGGTAATCACAAATATTGTTATTTTTTTTTTCCTTTTTCAGCTTTGCATACCTAATTTCGATTAATTAATCACTTTAGTACAATCAATCATTTGGCTGACAGTCATTGAACGACAATTGACCAACTGTTTTAGGTAAAAACTTGATGGATGACACATTTGATATTTCACAGGTCACAGTTATAACTTTTCATGCATTTTAAAATTTGAATATGAGTCATAAAATTTGATCAATAGCATTGGAGTTGATCATGATTCATGACATATATTTTTTGTAAATATGCAATTTTAGGTTTAATTTTATTATTTATATTACTGACCAAGCAAGTGCATGTACCCATATTCAGATTTAAGAGTACTCATTTTAATAAAGAAAGGTAGGGGACCTGAAGGACAACAATTTAAATTGTAATTGGCATGGAGAAATTGCTTTTGCCTTTGCCTTTGCCCCACAGACGGACCACCCTTCTATTTCCCGGCTATATCTTTCAACTTTTACCTTCTTTCTCTTTTTATTTGTTATAGTATAAAGGAAAAGGTGGAAGTTCAAGTTGAAATTGGTGGGAGAATTAATTCATGTTGCTTACATTAATAGTTTTAAAATTCTATTTTTATGAATCCATCTTACTTTGACTCAAAACTTATAGTTGAGATGTTAATGGATTAATGTAAATTTAGCGGTTTGAACCTCATTTAGAGATTTTGTTTGTCAAATTCGCTAACTAGCTAGCTTGTTTGGTATAAAACGAGCTTATTTGATTAGCGTTTTGGTCGAAGACGTTAATTTTGAAAAATTCAATATATGAAAGGTTTAAAAAAGAGAAAATTTGTGAAATTACATGTCTAACATAAAATTTTCATATTGACTATACAAATTGCTATTTACCAGACAACTATGTATAAACCGCCAATAATCTAGCAGTCAAATAGGGTATTACAATTCGCTATCTACTATTTTCTAGTACAATCAGTTATATACTATTAGCTAAGAGCACCACAAAACCAAGATTTCCCATATAATGTTCAAGTAAGAAGTAGAAATTCATATATATAAAAACCGCTCAATTCCAATTTCTCTTTTTCCTACGTAATACATATATATGGATGAAATTTTCTATTCCATAATAATTATTTCATTTTATTGAATGAATAATACGTGTTCACAACGATGTCACTAATTATACACGTGTCATACAAGTGGAGCACGATTTTGAAACAAGAGATCTTTTCCAAAGTAAGAAGAAACCCGTGGATTTAGAAACTATGCAAATACATATATAGTAATCAGGAAACATCATTAATCATTAATCATTAATGTTTTCGATTTTGTTACTTAATTTCAGTCTGGTTTTCTTAATTGTGGTCCTTCATTATTGTATGAATGAATGCATATGTACCAATCTTGGGACTAATATGTAGTAGTGCTCATACACGCAAAGTGGAGAGTTATTATTATATATTATGAAAATTAAGTACGCAATATATATGTGCATTTGAACAAGCAAAATAGTAATACCAGGAATCATGATTAACTCATCTACTTGACGCATGCGTATGTCCTTATGTTGCAAATGCCTAGTTTGGCTTTACCTTATAAGGGACCAAAAATCGAGGCAAAATATATCTAACATTGGTTTTGTAGGGAATTATGTTTGTCCATTATTTTCTTATTGAACTTTGATTTTAAATCTGAAGCTGGATTCGTCAAGTTGATCTCCCGCGACTTGATCTTGAATTGAACATTATCAATTTAGCGATTAGTTCCAAAACTAAAGTTTAGAAACTCAATTTGACTGGAGAAATTTTTACACAAATTATTGACTATAATAAGAACGAAATTCCTTCAAGATTGAATATGTGGATTTAAATAACGTTTGACATGAGGGTTTTTGATAATTTGTATGCTATACTGATGAGGCTTTGACCATAGATTAATCATTAATCCCATAAGGTTTTGGCTTCATTTTGTGTCCTTTTTAATTTTAGACAAGAAATGCGGATTCATAAATAATTACCTTTAAAATTTGTATTTAAGTAGTAGCTAGCCACTAGCCAATATTAATTTCTTTTGGATCCTCCCTTGTCATGGCCATTATACTCCTAGTGCGGATATGCATACATGGACGACATAAGTTTTTATTGCATTAAAAGCAAAGACCCAGTTTTTATAGATTTGTAACTATTCATATTAAATATAGTCTGGATTTTTGATATTTTGGTAGCCAGACAAACAATTGCAGTATTTTATTTTCATCGACCCTCTGATAAGTTTGTAGGGGTCCTCCACAAAAATTTAAATATCCCCACCGACTCATATAATGGCCTGAATCGCATACAGAACCGATACAGTAATTAAGGAAACAAGTAATTTACATATTAAAAAGTAATTAAACCAGTAATTCAATCTATTCTACAGAAATATTGCAACATTCTTGAAGGAGTAAGAAATAAATATACAATTCTATTCACTTTTGGTGTTGGTCCGATCGGATCACCGACGAAATTCTATTCATCATATTCCAAATACAATATCAAAATTGACCCATTATAGTTACTTACATTAATAAAATAACTAGCAGCTCACTAAGAAGCGATAAGCTGGGATCGAGCACTCATAACTCTTCGGCGGGACCTAATGGAGACATGTGTGTGCTCATAAAAATATTAATACGGTTAAATATAAAGATTATACAAATACAATATATTCATAATTATTGCATAAATTTAATATGCTTATTGTAATTTTATAAGTTTATTATTAATATATATTGCACATCAAAACATTAAAATCTACCATGTTTTAAAAATAAAACAAAAGACGTAAAATAAATAAATATCAACGCCTAAATGCCATTTAAACCACATAAGAGCATCTCCAATGTGGCTTTTGACATTATAAAAATTCATTCATATCATCAACTTTTGAAAGTGAGGTATTAATTTATTCTCCAATGCATCTTGTTATGAACTCTTTCATGATGAGATGGATAGCATTTAATGTTGACAATGTTGAACACACTTTCTAATATCTAACACCAAGTTAAACATGATGACTAATCAATTCACTTTATATTTGATTTAATCTTTTATTGTTCTTGTATTAATGATTATTTTAATTGGTCCACCTATACAAATAATTATTTATCAAATTGATGCATTGGAGATGCTAGTTTGATTCAAATTTCTACTCTTTTAACATTATTCCTACATGGATTAACATTACAATTATTGATTGACATGTGTTAAAAATCATTCTCTTTCAAAGCTATAACATTGGAGATGCTCTAAGAATGACTAACTTTATAACAGCTTTAGACTATATGCTTGATAAACCTAGCAGTTAATAACTTATAGTTGAAAAGATAATTGATATGATAAAAGTGTTATAGGGGGTGCAAATCCAATCCCATATCGAAAAATTGAAGGTTCCAAGTCCAATATATAAGTTTGGTGGGCTACTCCTTCTATTGCCAATTGGTTTTAGAATGGAACCTTTTTGGTTTTAGAATGGAACCTTATTTGGACTTGTATAATGGGTTTGATGGAGAACTGGGCTTGAGTTATATTGGTTCTAACAATTGTTTGGCAAAATTAGCTGACTAAACTAAATTTATTTGTATACACAAATTTTATAAGGTAGCCAAACTAAGTTATAAATTAATTCTTATCAAACACGGGTAAGAAATATTCATTAATGTTTATAAATTAAAAATACTCATAAAATAAAATTTATAAATTAAAAATATCGAATCACTATGTAATACAATTTACCAATATTAATTTGTTGAATATATTATATGAATTTGTATGCAAAATTACATAAAACATGTCTATTTAAAATTAGTACACGACCCGTACGGTGCAAGTAACTTATAATTAATTACACTATATTTATTTCAAAATAGGTATTATTTTAAATTTTTTATTCAAAAATTCAATTTGACTACAATGCGATTTGGTATGAGTTGATTGATTGCTATGGTTCGATTGGATTTCTCAATTTTTTTGTTATGGTTGTTTATAAGTTGCGTGGATGATATTGTTTATTTAAATAGATTCATTGATTTACATAATAAAATATACCAAATAATTTGCTATGTTCCACGAACATTTATAAAGAAGTCTCCAAATTTTTCTAAGTATCGATCATAGTATTCTCCAGATTTTTTTTTCATTAATATCGAGTAAAATGCTTAGCAATATGAAAAAAAAATTTGATAAATATATAGTACAAAATAATTCGATTTAATACATTATCAATAAAATACAAAAATGATGATATTCAATTTTACCACGAAAGTAATTGTCCAGCATACAATACAAAATCGAGACCCATGTTTTTTAAAGATAAAAAGAAAAGAAGACTCAAAAAACAATTATTAAAAAATAATTAAATAGAAACTTCCATTAACACATTTATTGTGGAATAATTTAATAAAAAGATATAAAAGAATAAATCCACCGAATTTACATGATTGGTGTAGTTAAGGTATCTTAAAAATGTAAATTTTTATGGTCTAATTATTTTCTTAATTATTCACGATCTGATTAATTAAATTAAATACACAAATAATGAATAACAATTATTAAGTAATATTTAAATTAAAATTGTCATTAACACTAATTTTTAGAAAAGTTATTTTGCAAATCGCATAATGATTATTGTTTGTCGATATTTCCATAATGTAGTAGTTATTTGCAGGTTGAATAAATCAGTCGGACTTATAAAATTTGTGTAATTAAGGTATATTAAAAATACATTTCACAAAAGAATAATACGAAAAATATAAACACTTATTAAATTATAAATTACAAAATTTAGTTGGAATTTTTTACAAAATCACATAATTGATATTCCAACCGAAATTCCCATATTTGGATAAAATCAGCTAAATTCACATGATTTGAGTAATTAAGGTATCTTAAAAATAATTTTTTATGGTTTAATTAATGAGCCGCAATTTTCATAACTGATTATTTAAAGTATACCACAAATTTTTAAATTAATTTCTCGAAATAGAAAATAGATTTTTTTTGGAGGGAAATAATTACTATTTAAAAAATAATCAAACCGTTTTATCTCCTCCATGCAGTATTAAATTAAGGGTGTTACTATTTACCGCCCCCTATTACTACGTACCACGCTCCTTTGGACAGTTTTGCCTTTGACATTTTTTCTAAAAAGTACAAAAAAAAAATCTCTTGTTGTCCAGCCGGCAAAACCGGACGTGCACGGTGCCGTCCGCAATCGCCGGTATGACGGATCGTGCTCATCCGCAATAGCCGGTAAGACAGGACCGTGCACGTCCGCAATCGCCGATAGCACGCACCGTGCACGTCCGTCTTCGCCGGCCTGACGGCGGTTGTTTTTTTAAAGAATTTTTATTTATTATTTAAATTATAAAAATTATAATTATAATTTATAACATAAATTATAGAAAAACTATTATAAATAAAAATTATAAATTTTTATTTGTTATAATTTTTATAACAAATTATAAATTATAAATTTTTATTTGTAAAAAATAATTAAAATTATACAAACTATAAAAACTAAATAAATTATAAAATTATAAAATTTATTTACTTTTTNGCCGTCCGGCCGACAAAGACGGACGTGCACGGTCCTGTCCTACCCGACGATTGCGGACGACACTGTACACGTTCGGTTTTGCCGGCCGGACGGCGAGAGAATTTTTTTTGTTTTGTTTACTTTTTAGAAAAAGTGTCAAGCACAAAATTGTTTAAGGGCGTTAAGTAGTAAAAAGGAGTGGTATTTAACGATTCAGTAAATTAAACAAGCAGTGGATGGGAAAGAATGAACTTAATTTACACCAGCCCAAATATGATGTATTAAATATTAATGCACAGCCCTTCCCAATCTTTCTTCCTTTTAATAATTACTATTTATCATTCTTTTTTTAGCACCTATTAATAAATGGGGAATTTCTATTCCCATCTAACTCAACTGGAATTCCTAATCATGACTATAATAATTAAGTTTGTTATATAACCATCTTTGTTTATGGCCTTCATATAAACCAATTTGTTTGAACAAGTAAGCGCTATCTATAAGCATGTAAGGTGTGCAAACTAAATCCCACATCGGAAAATTAAAGGTTCCAAATTCAATATATAAGCTTGGTGGGCTACTCTTTCTACTGCTAATTGGTTTTAGAATTGAACCCCATTTTGGCTTGTATGTTGGGATTGATGAAGAACTGGGTTTTGAGTTGTCGGTGCAAACAATTGGTATCAGAGCCACGGTTGGTAGCCCTATTGCGATGTGGATGACGTGACATGTTAGAGCCAGTGAATCCGTGTGCCTCGTGTCGAAAGTCTTTCTGGCGAAAGGGTGGTCAGGCGGCGGGTTCTGTAGGTAATAACGGCGGTACAAGATGGTCGGTTCGTATGTTTGTTCAAGGGGAGACCCAATGTGGTCTTGTGTTTGAGGGGAGGTTTGTAGGGTGTGCAAATCAATCCTACATCGAAAATTAAAGGTTCCAAGTCCAATATATAAGCTTGGTGGGCTACTCTTGAGTTTTTACTGCCAATTGATTTTAGAATGAAACCTCATTTTGACTTGTATGTTGGACTTGATGAAGAACTGATTTGAGTTGTCGGTCCTAACAAAGCAGACATCACGATTATCTTATTCATCTGTTCCCGAAATATTAATTAGTGTCCAAATTCATAGTCACCAACATTCATTTATATCACAATTCAATTACAATCAGGTTCGAGTTCAGGTTTGGACCTTTAAATTTGCTCAACTTACTTTCCATTAATTAATAATTCTTGAGTATTCAATATGAACTATGTTAAATTAAATCGGTGATTTTTGCATAAGATTAAACTCTTATAATGAAGAGAAAAAAAAAACAGTAGTCCTATTTATTTATTTATTTAATATTTTGTGCGTGTCTATGTGTGTGACACAAAATAAATGCAAATTCTGCTTTGTTTGTGGGATTTGTTTGATTAGCATCACAGAGTGGCTCAGTGGTAGGTTGCCGGGTGTTGGATTAGAATTTTTGAATTTATAACAATGGGCTGGTTATGTTGTGTGACAATCCGTTGGTTGTGTAAACTCTTGTGAATATTGTTGATATATATAATATGTTGTTATTTGGGGGGAAAAAAAAAAAAGCTGGAGCCAAGACAAATGATTAGCCTTTGGTCTAAAGAACATTGTTATAATATATTTTATACTTAGAGCTTTAATCATTTTATCTTTAGCCTTTAGGATATATAACATAACTAGAAGACTTCGGCTGTGCCCAGCACAGTCGGCCCATTTTATCACTTGTAAGGTGTCGGTACATTTTTTTTACATACCCAATAACATTCATCAAGAAGTTGAAATCTGGCACAATTTCTGTACATTGCTTTTCTTTTTAAAACGTATAACTGGATGTTCCAAAATGAAGCAAATATGAGAGCAAGAGAAATGTATTCATTAATAATTAATATTTACACCCACATCATGGAAATTCAAATCTGACAGTAAACCTAATAATAATGAGGCGCCTAACAAATGTATCAAGTCCAAAGAAATTGCAGTCCTTTATGACTCCTGTTACCCTCAGAAACCTATTGAATATACAAAAGCAGTTTAGTGTTTTCATAAAGCAATAAATTGGTACCCTTCATATCTTGTTCATTTTCAAGGCCATCTGAAATCACACGTCTGATACCCGAATAGTGACAGTAGTTTCCTGATTAAATACTGAAAATTTGGGACTTGTGGTTGGGAATCACAGTGTTTCTTGGGACCAACTTGACTATCACTCCTACAAGAATATCTAATTATTCATCACAATAGAGGTAGAGAAGTAATCTTTTCATACTCAGATTTCACAATCAAGTGGTACCAAAGAAGTGTTTTGTGAAGTGAGAAAATGCTTAACACATGTTCTATATATAACAAAAAGCAGTACACACAACTTCCCAGCCTTTCCAATGTCAATTATATGAAGAAAAAACAAATCCAGGGTTTTGTAGATACTACAAACATAAATCAGTTTTCTTTTCAATGTTCTTACAATCCAAATAAACCCTCCCCATGTTTTTTGAGTTTTTATTATTCTCGCTCATGCGTAAAGATACTCAAACCATGCAAAAAAATATTCATGCAACAAATATGCTTCTAGATTAACAAGGCCAACACAACTTCTATGAAAGAGAAGACAGAATAACCCCAAGCTTACGTCTAGCTATTCCTTTAAAAGTTTTTTATGTAAAAAAATTGTCTTGAATGACTTACACAACATAAACTTTCAATATCTATGTATCTATTGAGGGATATCCTTTAGAATATTGAGATATTGTTCGCTAATGCTTCACTTTCAAGCCCATTTTCATTCTTCCTTCAACTCCATGTTTATAGGTAAAGAAAAATATTACCTCAAGAACTTGTTGTTCTACTATTCTCCCATTAGCTCATTTATGGCAACCCAGATGTTCAAGGTATTGCATAAGTATCTTAGTAATTTTAGTCTCACCACTTTCTCCAGTCACCAATGTTGAGCCACTCTTTTCTTCATTAATCATTGTCCTATTGCATCTCCAAAAACTCAGACATGAATAGAATCATCCTTGAGGATTTCTTACAAAACCTATCCGTTTCTCAAATTAACTTAATATTCTGCAAACATTTGAAAAGAAGTTTAAAAAAAGAGGTAAAACACATTTCCTAGTATGTTCTAGTTTCGGCTTTTCCACATTGCAGCAAAGCTTCTAATCTTATCTAGTCCAAGAACTTGAATGATCCATGAAGTGCAGATGTATGGTAAGACATAAGAGACTACGATAATGAGCTTTAGATGGATGGTTACATAGACACAGATGTAATGATGTACAGAAGCATCTATTTATGTCGATCAGGAGAATATAACTTGTTAAGAAACATACCTATTCCAATTTCCAGAGTTCCATCCTCAATCTCAATGTTGTTTTCTGCACCCATATTGAACCTACAAAATCCATGATAACACAAGAAAAAAAGGAAAAATGATCAAAACGACTATCATCCACCCTTCACCATAATGA